GGCGGCGGTGCGGGCCCTGGGGGTGTCGGGGAAGGAACGGGGCTCCGGGTTCCGCCCGGTGTCTTTCCCCCCAGCGTCGAGGGAACGCAGGGAGTGCGAATTGGAAGAGTAACCTGTTGCTTTCTCCTTGCTCCCCAGGCCTGACGGGCAGGCTGCAGCACCTCCCCGAGGTACGCTACCGCTCTCTCGCGGGCGCGGTACTCTTCCCCATCCCTCGGGGCTTCGTTTCTGTGCTAGAGCTGCCGTGGGTAGCGCTCCGGTACGGAGACCTTCAGAAGCGTGGACAGGAATGGCTGTTGCCAAGAGGAGACATCTGAGGGGAAAAAAATCTAAAGTCTCGTTTAATCTGATTCCTGCACATTTCATAAAAGTTGTTTGCTGTACAGTGATTTCCGTTAAGATAGCCAGAAGTGTTTAAGGGAATGATGTGCAGGTGTTATAACAGAAAAAGCACGGATTGCCAGAGGGAGATTAGTAGTTAGCACTTTTTGAGTTATAAAGGCTGTTCCTGGATGGAGTTGCTAATTGCCTGATACTTTGCATATCGGACTGTGATTTAATAGCATCTGTACAAAATCAGGGAGCTTTTTTCCAATTCTGAACTAGAAGATTGAGAGTCTAGTGTATTTGTTCATCACTGCTGTTTTCCAGCTTTCTTCATCAGTATTTCAAAGTACTCTAAAAACACTTTAAAACTTTAAACAATTCCCTCACCCGCACCTCACATAGTTATATAGCGGGGTGGTGGTAACTGCCACTCTTTCTTCCTCTCATGATTGTTCTAAAAAAAGTTGTTGGCATACACACAAGAGGAGCTCAGGATGATGCTTTGAACACTCTGTCTCCGTGGTGAGAATGAAGCTGAGGCTGGACTCCCCTTTGCCTGTTACGTGTTGTGTCACATGGAGCTTTTGTCCTGTGATCGATCCCATTGTGTGGTGTTGAGGCCAAGTAAGAGGAAAGCTGGCCAGTGGCACGGGGGGCTCCCCTTAGGCGTGCTTCTTCCCCACCCTCCAGCAGCCCTTCTGTGAGGGCAGCGCTGTCTAGCTCTTGATCACCATGTTGGGGAATTAGCTTCTGTTTTCTGCTTAATCTCCTTCAGGCAAACGCAGCGGAGGTGGGGCTGCGAAGCAGAGACAAGGCCCAGCCCAGAGGCGGGCGAAGAAAGACAAGCGAAAAAAGGCAGCCAGGTGTGCTGGGAGGAGGGGGAGAGCCAGGGCTGGGGGCAGCACTGCAGCTTGTGTGTCACATCTGTCTGTCCTCCTCTTCCTCTGATCGAAAGCATTTGTGTGCTAAAGCACCTTCTGTGTGGCTTCTGGTACAGCGTATCTGTAATACACACGCACACATATATATAACTTGGTAAGTAGTTATGTACAGCTGCCACGTGCTGCTACTGGTCTGGCTGTGGAGCACTGAATTCCTGCATTTCGGCTCCCCCCACCCCTTTGTCACCAACGTCCCCACAGAGGAATTGCACTGCGTTCTGGTAGGACTGGTTTGAGACTCTGGGGAGCCACGCAGGGCACGTGAAGGTGCACGACGACAGGCTGAGAGTCTTGGTCTGGTTTTTGGATTTTTCTTTAATCCTGCCACGCAGCTTGGCTGAGCATCAGAAGCCAGCGCTGGCCCTTGTTGTGCTCAAGCAGCAAAGCATCGAGTAATGTCCCTGCTGCTCTGGGCTCTGTGACTATGCTGAGGGATTTACATCCATTTAACTAGGTCAAAAGGAAACTATACGGCCATGCGTTTAAAAGATCAGACCGTAACTGGCCTCCACCAGCAGCTCGCCAAAGACTTTCTAAACGTTCATCTCTACGGGCCAGATGCCAACCGGGTGCAGGGTAAGCAGTTTTCCTTTGGTGGGGCTGCACCTCGGTTTCTCTGGGTTAAACCTCGTAACTAACACTCATCTCCCTTTCAGCAAATGAGTTTTTCTCCCTTGAGAACAAGAAAGACCCAATTAAAAAAGCTGCTGTTCAGTTTGTGGACAAATCTTGGGGTGAGTATGAAAAGTCAGAGTAGGTGCTACTTTAAGCACATCGGTGTAACGTATACGTAGCGCTTTCCCCTGTTTGAGGGCTGCAGCTTGCTGCCTTCTACCCTCAAGAACCTGGCAGCAAGGGAAGGGCAGCAAGGCGCTGCAGACCGAGTACGCACTCTGCTGGGGAGGGCGGATGAGGCAGAACTTGAAAAAACAACCTCCCTCTTGGTACATGGAGAAGCAGCAGGTGGGCCCAGAGCTGTGTTTACTCGTTGGAGTAAGTACTGCTTCATCCTAGGGCCTCCCCGGTGTGGGACGGGTTTCGGATGTGGGTAAAACTTACATCGGGGTGCCAAGATCCCAGAACTTCTGTGTGAGCACAGGGAGCTAGCGCCCACTTCTCCTCCTAAGCGGTGACACTGGAGAAGGGAATGAGGGCACACATCAGTTAGAGCCAGTGTCACACGAGTGGAGTCTCTGGGGGGCTGGTGGAGAGGCCACAGTTATTGACCCTCAGTGGGTGTCCGCCTGTCAGTGCTGCCTCAGGAGCGAAAGCCCTGCTGTACCCTGCCCTCCTTCCCCAGGAGACTGGTACGGGCCAGCAGCCGCCACCTGTTGTACGTGACCTATAACAGGAAGTTGATCAGCTTTTGGGTCAGTTCTGTTCTGAAATGCTGCTGTGATCAACAGATTGCTGCTTCTGCAGCAGTAGAGGGGCAGAGGAAATGGTAACTGACAGTGGGTTGTGTTGTTTTGGTTTTTTTTAAGGGCAAGAAAAGAAGCAAAGAGCAAAAAGGTTTACAAAACGCTGGCTTTCAACACTGATTAAAAATAAAGTGTGAGGACAGCTTTCTCAGAAGATCCTGCTCAGGACTGCACCAGAAGTTAGTCTACCAGCACACACTGCTTCCAGCTGTAGCCAGCAGGCATGACCTTCACAAAGCTGTGCCTGAACAGACCTCCCTGTTCTCTTCCCCCTGCAGAAGTGGTTGGGGAACCTAAGAAACAACTGGGTCAAGGCAGCAACGGTGTGTCCCTGATGCTGGTCTGGAACAGCTGCTGTTGCGGCCGGGCTTGTGGAGCAGCTCCCTCACGGAGAATAAAGACAAACGATTTGTACTTAAAGTTCTGTGTTTCTTACGGCTATCACCTGTTCCTGCTTTTCCAGTTACCTGCATCACTGAAGGAAGGATGTAGTCTGGTGTCAGAATCGGAGTCAGGTCAGGTAGTCAGACACTTCTTGTCGAGCCCAATGGTTACTCCTAAGGAACAAGGGGTTTATTTCCCCCTTGTTCAGGGAGTGCTGAGGAAGCTGCACTGCCAGCAGGACAGGCAGCAACCCTTTAATTCCAGCTGCTGCAGTGCCCCGATGGCACCGTGCTGAGCTCACAGGCCAACCCCAGAACCTATGCTGTTCTCGCCCGGAACCAAGGAACCGTAGCATACAAGCCCATGCTACCGTGTATGTAGAATTAAGTTTTTAATGGCTGGTTAATTATGGTATCACTACATTTTATTGCAATATAGTACTATTTAAGCACTTTTAAAAATGCAAGGTGTACAAAGATTAAATTAAGACTGTAAATTGACTAAATATTTGGTTTTTATATAAATAGGTCATAACCACACTGTGTTGACATGTAATACTGTTATAATACAACAGTTAAACTGGTGAGTCTACACAACAGAAGCTGTCTGTAGTTAAACAAGGAAACAGAGTTGAAAAGACCATGTTAAAACAAAAAAAACTACTAAGATCAACAGGTTGGGATTGTAAGTAGCAACAAACATGTTCACTCAGCTCCTGAGTAATTTCAAGTTTTACAGTACACATTAAAAAATATCATTTCTTCCCATCCACACTATATATCCAAACCATCAGGTGTTTATGCATTTTGCAAATTACACTGAACTATGTAACAATGGGGGTGGGGGTTGGCAAGTCATCCCGCATGACGTTTACATCACCCACATGCTAATACATCCATGTTTTCTATTTCATCCCACCACAAGGTAGCAGGATTTTTAGTTTGTTTTGGACAGTTGTTGAAAGGATTTGCACTGGTCAATTTGGATGTCTGACTTTATCACTGATACTTTCAACTCTTACTTGTCTAAGAGGTTTAAAGGTGGAAATGTTCTCCTAACGCTAAGTTAGAAATCATTTGCATCATGCTGTAAACTAGGAAGCAACATAAAGCGACAGACTTGTCCTTAGTACATAATTAAAATTCCAAATTCCAGTCAGCAGAGCTGGTCTGCTTTCCATGTGGAGTATGTCACACCACCTTCCAGATTTTCAAATGCATAGCTAGTGTAGGTAGTCTTCCACTGTGGCAAACGCACAGGATCCGATTCCCGACCGAGCCATCAATCCTAGACACTGCGACGCTTGTCCCATTGCTAGGGCAAGCGGTGGTTGCTTTGGCAGATTGTGAGTCTCTGAAAAAAGAATCACAGCAGCAGTTAAGACACCTGATTAAATCCACAGTCATGCACTGAGAAATTTTAGGCTTGCTCAAATTGCTCATTTCAACATTCCTGTGTTTACTTCCAAAGTTTGCTCTTACGGCAAGACTGAATCAATGAATCATAGAATGGTTTGGGTTGGAAGGGACCTTAAAGACCATCTAGTTCCAACCCCCCTGCCATGGGCAGGGACACCTTCCACTAGACCAGGTTGCTCAAAGCCTCATCCAGCCTGGCCTTGAACACTTCCAGGGATGGGGCATCCACAGCTTCTCTGGGCAACCTGTTCCAGTGCCTCACCACCCTCTCCGTGAGGAACAGGAGCAACAAAGCGACATTTTCAAATTCCCCCTACAGCGCCATGACTATGCTCATTTTTCCTCTGAGCAACAACCCCCCCTTGACGATGACGTGTTACATGAATACGCTCCCCAGACCACCCCTCTCTTTCAGTACAAGGGCGTATGTAACATTGCTGTGCGTGGTTGGTCACTGGGCCGCCTAGGGCAGAGCCCAGCGTGCGATGCCTGCCGCACAGCAGTGCCTACCCATCTGGAGCGGAAGGCGTGGAAGCGCCAGGCCTTGCTTACCTAGTATTGCACTGTTGAGTACAGAGCACACAGGTTCCCGTTGTATCGGGTCAAGCTGATTTCCAACAGGGCTGCTCCAGGGATCCGAATACGCAAGTAAACTGAATGCATCCTGTGGAGAGATGATGTTGATCACATCTCACAGCCACATTCTTTATTACTAGTGAAAACTAAGACTCTGTTCTTCACCCATCTGACCCAGAATCACAAAGGTGATTGTCAGTCTCCTCCATCAATACAAGAGGATAAGAAGGAATTGTAAGAGGACTTGCTCCACTTTGAGCAAGCCGCATTTTTCCCAACAGACAGGCAAAAGTCAGCAGTGTTTTACCAAGTGACGGGGAATGAAAACTGCATGCGGTCAGTCTTCATTAAGGGAATTCTTTTCCAGAGCAGTTTCAAACCCAGGTATACTAATTAGCACAGAAGAGTACTAAAGAGAGCACGTTTCAGGCACCTGCATCAGTTCTTTTCTCTTTCTTGCAGTTCATTTATCATGAGAGCTGAAAACAGCACTTTGATTCCAGAGGCCAGAAATGAGCGAGCAGGAAGTGCTGAATTCCCTTACAGTTACAACCCCTCTGGTTGTAACTGTATTACAGCATGAAACGATCCTCCCTGTGAACGCGCGACACAGGCAGGACAGGAGACCGTGCGACTCCAGAGCCGACGAGAACACTACCCGCAGGCGTGACAAGAAAACTAGAACCAGCAGAAGCCCGAGTAGAACGGCGCTGCAACGCCGCACGCTGTGTCCGCTGGGCTGTGGCGTTACTCACCTTAACACCACAACTGCAAGGTTCAACGTACCTTAAGCATTTTCTTATTCGCCGTGTTTTTGCCACATTCTCTTCTTAGCTGCTCACTCATAGCTTGCAGTTCTCTTCCAAAATGGATCATTCTTTCAATGGCCGCTTGGCTGCCGCCACAGAGCTGACGTCTTAGCTGACTGGAATCTACTTCTGCAAAAATGATATCGTCATCACCACCACTAATCGAGCAGAGAGTCACAACCTATGGATCTAGAGATCTTTAACTCAAAAGACACCTGCCTTCCTGCCGGAAGGCACGCAGTTCTATCTTCTTAATTCTCTGGCGCTGCCCTTCCAAAGATACATCAAACCCAGAACGGAGGGTACAACCCCAGACTTCCCAACAGCCACAATGGATGTTGCTACAAGACTGTTCGTACTCCTTGCAGAATATATTCGCTTCATCATTTGGACACTGCCGACTTTTGTAATCAAGCAGAACACTACATCAACTTCTTAACTGTTTGCTACAATATTCCCCAACACCAGTGATTTAAAAATACATTAAAATAGTTTATGAATAGTACATCAATCCCTGGCTTCTCCAAAAGTTCTGCCTTTTTTAAATTTACAACTAAAGCAACCTGTTAAAAAAAAAATCAATTTCTTTGCCTTTTTTCATCAGTGGAATCAAGTCTTGAATCACACTTCTAATGTGCACTTTAATTACAAGCCCATTCTTTCAGATTTTAATGCTGCTATCTAGCGATGTACTTTAACCACTGTTTCAAACAAGGATTTTTAAGTGGCCACTTCCCTTTTTTCTTAGATGTGAGCATATCACCTCTGGAAAAATCTGCCCACTTAACGTTATGTACACAGCACTAAGGAGAATACGTAAATGTTTCAAGAAGCAGAAAGCCACCAAAAAAAACACCAGACTCAAACTGGGGGGTATAAACAATGGAGGCTGAGGAGGCACGTTTCTTTTTTACAGCGGTGGAGCACCCACAAGTCTTCCAGCCATGGTGGTTGTCGCTAGGAGCAGCCCAGCGTAGAACATCACTTTCCAAAGACAGAAAACATTTACATTAAAAAACCCCACAAACAACTCTGCGCCCTGTGCAGCTGCTTCACGTCTGTCACAGCAAGCCTCTGTGGAAAAGGCTGCAAGGGAGTAAAGAAGCATTTTGTGTTTTCTGTCACAGAAATGAGGCCTTGTTATTATCCAGCTTCAGAGCATAATACTGGGAAACAGCCTGGAAATCTGATACTCTCCGCTCCAGGGCTGGAAAAGAATGATACTTGCTTTTCCACAGCTAGGCAGTATTTACCAGCAAAACTGCAGCAGCAGCACATGCCCTCAGAACTGCGAAGCGTTCATAGATCGAAGTGCTACCGCCGTCCAAAGCTTTATCAGCAACATCCCGAGTTTCAAGTTTCATTTAAACTACCTAATAACTGATCCCTGGTTAAAGGAATTGTTCGAGAAGACAGTTCTGCAACTGCAGACACGGCTGGGCTGGATTCCTCCACTTCTTCAGAGAGGGGCAGCGGTGACAACCACTGTCTAAACTCCAGCCTGCGTGGACTGAAGGGATCTGACCGCCTGTACTGGGCAGGGACAGTCCGCTCCGTAACAAGCATCTCCTTGTGGCGTGCTGCCAGCCAGAGGTATTTAAATACTCACTTGTCACTTGCGTCAACAGGTATGACAGAGTAGAAAGCACATTAAAGTAAAACAAAGTTATTTTTTAGACCACAGCTATGCAAAACAGGATGATTTTCTGGTCCAAAAGTTTTTTTCCCCATCTTAGTTCCCAAATACAGCTCTTTTCTTGGACATTTCATATTTGCACTTTGCATTCTTCAATACACATGATTTGGAATTTCGACTCTCACTGCTGAGCGTGAAGATGCCATCAGAACCATGAAAGGTCAGAGGACTGGGGGAAGAGGGAGAAGCAGTCTGCCAACCCTAGCCCAGGCACGCCACAAAACAGGATGTTTCTTCTCAAAGATACTTCCTTAGAAGCTGATTCTAGACTCACTATCCACAAGTAACCAATTTCCCACCTTAATCAGTGGCTGTCAAACTGACGTCTAATCACAGCAAAACAAACAAACAAAATTAAGATTTGAGCCAATATCCCTAATGTTCAAGTTGGGAAGCATTGCAAGTAAAAACATAACCTTGTTGCCATCACTTAATAAAAATGTAAGAAATATCACTGCAGACCCATTTCTGTGTCACATTCTTCCATTTCGTGATCATGTTTAGAACTACCATTTAGGAAGCCATTGGATGAAGTCTCAGCAACCCCATTGGAGTAGTGATCTGTTTCCATGTCTACATCATTGCTGAAAAGAGAGTAATAAATATGAGTGAAACCTTTTATTTCAGTACTTAGGGTTATCTTCTTCACAACCTTAGCACAGTACTTCCCTCATCTTGGCTACTCAAAAGCTGCTTTTAAATGTATCACCGAGTTAGACCACAGTTTTTTCCACAGCAACTGGCGATACCAGAGCACCAGGGGAATTTTAGGGCCCTCTCAACTAACATTAGCATTCAGTTAAATATTTTCAGATGCTGAAAAATTAAACATGCCCACCATTATTCAGGAATAAGTAATGTAACACTTTCTAAATACATACCAAAAAGTTCTTACCTTGTATCTGTACATACACAGAGCTGGAGAAAATGCATTGAGAAAATATACTATTCCCACTTAAAAAAACAACCAAACAAAACCACACACACACACCCCAAACCACGCCCCCCCCCCAAAAACAAACCACCACTAAAAACCACAAGACAAACCAATAAAACACCACACAGTGTTTTCCACATACATGCTACTTTGAGAATATCGTATTTAGGTAAATAATTCTTTCAGAAAAGCCCTGAGCTCTCATTTACTCTCAGTGGAATGGCAGGAAAAAAACAGAAAAGCCCGAAGCAAACACCGAGTAACACAAGATACTGAAGAGACACTCAGAGGCAAATTCAGAGCGTACAACTCCTCACCACACTTTGCTTGCAGCAGGCCAAAAAAGCACTTTTAGAAAACACCAGCATGGCTTTGGGACTGAGCTTTGCCTACAGTTACATCCTAGCCTGTTCTGTTTCATCATGGAAAATTATGACCTCTCTCAAGGCCAAAAAGATTCAGTTCAGAAGTTTAATATTTTTGCTTTTAAGCAACCAAAAATACTTGGCTTCCTTTGAGGAAGGAAACCAAAAGGCCCCTCTGACTGGGCAACACTGCAGCAGCCAAGGAACCCACTGTCTTCCTCCTGTGAAAAATCTCAAAGTTGCTGGGCACTGCCAGGCTTTTTGGCAGAGGCAATTGCTGATGCAAACACAAATTTTGAGGTTAAAAAGTAAATTGCTACTCCTTCTCCCCAATAGTTACTATCCAACATAGTATTTTTTTGTTTGACCACCACATCATCACATCCTCTCTGGTAGTTTTGGGAATCCTCCTTGGACAATGCAGCTGAGTACTCTTGTATTTCACATTAAGTTAGGTTCTGCTGCATCCGTGCAACCCAGAGCTTAACATTTACTGGTTATGAATAACCATATTAACCCTGGTTAATACATCTGTTTTCATTCTCTGAATTGAATGTGTTTGCACAAGTGACAGTGACTGAAGTAGGCAAACAATTCCTGTGTGTGCAATGGAAGGGAGTCCACACTGAAATCTGCATCTCAATTGTGTTTACTTTGCAGATCCTGCCACAAAGGAAACCTTTATCTGGAAGCCTTTTCATTACCTACATGCAGTGTGCTTAAATCAATGTCAGCAGCTTAAATTAAAATCCCAACAGAGCTAGTTAATCTTCACAGTACAACTTCAAAATTGACTATACATAGCTATAAGCAAAAGAATTTTTGTCCATCGCATTTATTTAACCAAACAGGAAAGAACAGCCTATTGAGCTTGAGAAGTTAAAGCAAAACCAAAGTACACTGGAGTGACCACAAGCTGTTGACCCTTCACACTATGTTTTAACTGTCCTTGAAAAAACAAATTCACATCAAGTCCCACTAAGAACTCTTCTCTGCAATCCAAGCACGCCTTGGACAAGCCTTAATGTAAGTCAGACGTATCTGGAGTTTACTCACCTGGAATAGCTGTTAACCTGCTGTGATCTTGATACGTTTATGTTGTTGAGCTCTGGTACATTCAAGCTGGTGGTTGTGTGTTTACTGTGACAGTAAGACTGATGAGCTTTATTTGATATTACTCCATTACTGCAACTACTTTCAAACCCTGAAAGAAAGCATTAATAATTGTAATCACCTACAAACTTAATTGCAAGTACTGATCTATAGAAGTGAAGTAAGTATAGCTTAATTGTTCCTGATCAGTAAATGCTGGATTTGCCAAACGAATAACCCCCAAACACTTCGCCTCTGTGTTTCAAGTATTTGAACCTTTAAGGCACCTACAGTGCAGGAGCTAAGCATTCTTTAACAAGTAATAACACATATATGAGAAGGTTTTTCAGCTGTACTTACACACCAGTAAAACAGAGAACTGGATCAATGTAGAATCGTTTTTATGAACCGATACATTTTTTCTGAAAGATCTGAAAATCTTTTCTAGGCCACTGTAATCATTATGAATGGAAGTAGACATGCATCTCACTAATTCCTACTCACATAATTCTCTTGATAAACATGCAGGAGAATTCAGTGCTGAAAATACTTCATAAGTTGCTACAACTTAAATATAACCTCCAACCTTCCCCATATAATTATTTTAATTGTTAATATTGTGCTTTCCTAAATAAAATCACACCATGCTGTGCAATTACAATCTCTGGCTAAAATCTCTCCTGACCGCTCTAAAATATAATCAAGAAACTACTGTTTGAAGCCAACATGTAATTGCCAGTTCTATTAAACCCAAAAGCAGGATCCCTAGTACCTCCTTATACAGATACAGGTCACAGGAAGGGCTTATTCTGAACAAAACAGTTGCTGCCATCCAGGAAATCCCAAACTTCAATTCTAATAGTACATTCATCAACTTGCTTATTAAGCAGTGCCTCTGTATTCAAAATCAGAAAGTTTAAGGGTACTTTCTACAATACATTCCAGTAACCACCCAAAGAACAAGCAGAAAATCTGAGTGACCTCCACCCAACATGCACGATAGAACAGGCTTCACGGAGTGAAGAAAAGCAAAGCTGCAGCCTTGCCAAGTGCAGCTGGTAGCCTGGTGGCCAGGCCACCCTGACTTCCTACTGAATCCCTCCAAGAGAAAAAACCACCAGCCCCCCAGTTTGGATTTAAGAATGAAACAGAAGTGAAAGCTGATGACCTCTGTCTGCTATCTGAAGAGTCCTGGGTTCAAAGATGACATATTCATGTACCATCTTTGCCCAGAGAAGCTGTGGATGCCCCATCCCTGGAAGTGTTCAAGGCCAGGCTGGATGAGGCTTTGAGCAACCTGGTCTAGTGCAAGGTGTCCCTGCCCATGGCAGGGGGGTTGGAACTAGATGGTCTTTAAGGTCAAACCCAAACCACTCTATGATTTTATTTTAACATGCCCTGCTTCCTCCCTGTAGGGAAGCTCTGGAAGGCATGGGGATGTCCCCGTAGGCATGGGGCAGCTCTGAACATGCCTGGCTTGGTAGACTGACGCTGTACCACCACCTAGACATTGTCAGAACTATTTCAACTGTGCAGACTGAAATTTGGCTGCCAGCAGAAACTCTTTTACCTAACTCCACCACCTAGACTCTGGTATTTCCTACTATTCCATCAACACCACAGGAAATGGATCGTATACACCTCTTACTGGATTTAAACCACCTTACCCAAGCAATAAATGATCATGGAAAGGACAACAGAAGCTTGTGTCAGAGCCTTCCGTCTCCCGGAAGCAAGCACTTCTTAGAAATCAGTGGCATCCTACTTCGCAAACCCTTAGTAACTCCAAGAGCACATGTAGAAAAGACACGATTCTGGTTATACACTTTCCTTTTCCCCAGTGACTGAGAATCACATATTTTAATCACTGACACTATACTTTCACAGAAAGCATTCAGTATCAACTCTTAAGTAAAACAAGTTGTCAGTCTGCAAGTATTTCTAACTTCTCATGATATTTAATTGTAAAAAAACCCCAAACATCTACATGGTGTGGTATATCCTCCACATCAACTTACCAGAAAAGTGTGTGCTGCTCCCTTTGCCTGTTGCCAAATTGTGAATATTCATTCCATGGCTGGGACTCATGCTAGGACTACTGAATGAGCGTGGGCTAACAGGGTAACTATCTTGAGATTTTGGACTGTGGCCGCCCAAACACCGCACTTCACTGTCTGTACCATTCACCATCTCTATGAACTGGCGCACCCTAAACAAAAGGCAAAAAAGTTAAGCTAATAAAACAATGTACATGTCTCGATTTACCAATGATAGCAATGATTTAATTATAGTGTTAAATATACAAAAAGTCTGACTCAACAAAATGCTGGATGTCAGTAATCATCATCAATAAGCTTTGGAGTATTCAGCCAAAAATACACAATTACAAAATTTGTGAGGGAGAAGAACAGGAATATTATCCTTCAAGGACTGATTTCATCAATGAGTCCCCAAAGTTTAGAGAGCTAAACTGTATTTCCTTGTTTAAACTGGTTTGGTTTATCGGCAGGGGCAGGGTTATTTCTTGAGAAGGGTATGTTGTTAGGTTTTCATGTCTGTCATTTCTCTCACACTGTGTTCTCATTTACTATCTGGAACAGTAAGCACTGAACGGTAACTCTTAACATTTGCACCAGAAAACAGTTTGAAAAGCAAGCTCATATACAAACCTTCCCTTTAGATGCTGTTGCTTTTTGTCAATGTTATTCTAGGTAAGGAGGTTTTACTGTGGGCTTTAAGGAAGCTCAGAACTACTGACTTATGGTTTAGGCTTCGATAGCCAACAGGCAAAATTCAGAAAGACAGATTGAGAAAATGATAACAAAGTTGAGATTACCGAGTGATGCCTTTTATTAAAACGTTCATATTTTGTGAACTCTGTGCTAAGTCTGCAGTACTACCACGTGGATTCTGTTCAGCACTTGAGTGTGACAGACCTCAAACACATTACAAGTTATGTAACTGAACATAAAAATTAGAAGTGTTTTGTTCTTAGAGGTGATAACAGAATTTTTTCCGCATTCAAACACTACAACTTGATTAAGGTCAGCTCAGCTGGCAAGTAAAAACGCCAGAATGAAGGTTGACTATTGTGTGCCTGGGAAGCCAAGAGAACTCTTTGGGATTATGGAATTTCCACAGTTATTAGAAACCAGAGATTCCTAGTAAAATGACACTGAGTGAAACAGCTCATTTAAAATGGCCTTTAAAGTCAGTCATCCATTTGGTGGAACAGACCAACTTATGCCAACAGAACCCTTAACCTTCTTGAATACGATACTGTATCGGTTTACATTTTTACTTGACACCCAAACTGATTAAAATTGATTTAAAAAAATTACTAAGCTTAGTCCTAGAGAACACGTCTACAGTATGATGTGAATCATGCTGCAAAACAGGACCTTGATGACAAAACCCAGTTCAACATGTAGCAAATAATATAGCGTAAAAAAGTGAACTATACACATTTTCTAAAAAATTCCGATTAACTTTGTTAAAATTTTTGTGAAAGCTTTAAATGAGTAACTGTCTTGTCTCAGAAGGTACTGTGCCATCTATAAACACACATCTGTATAATTTGAAGACTCACTTTAATGCAAATAAGAGATTAGGATTTCTTTCTAGTAAACTTGGATACAACTGTTGTGTTGTTTCAATGGCTTCTCCCATTCTTCCTGCTAAAACCAATTTCTGAATTCCTGTTCACCAAAAAACAAATAAGAGATTAGGATTTTTTTCTAGTAAACTTGGATACAGCTGTTATGTTGTTTCAATGGGTTCTCCATTCATCCTGCCAAAAGCAATTTCTGAATTTCTGTTCACCAAAACAAACATCAGTTAAATGGACAGCTTTACGGACTAATACATGTAAATTAGTGATTAAAAGACACAGCAACCATCAATCAACAAGGTTTTTTCCTCTTAAAAAAAATAGCGTAAAGAAAGATCATGCTTCCTTAAAATGCTCAATAGGAAAATTTAAGGACTGCATTCCACCTACATATATCTAAACGAGTACTCAATGTTTTTATTTATTGCCAGCATATAACTACTTCGTGCTCATTTAGAGCTAGATTAAGATTGCAGACACTCTTCTGCGATTTTTCTCATTTTCTCACCTTTATAAATAAACACATATCTAACTACTGTCACACAAGAACATCCAAATCACATCTGACTCCCACAGGTTCAATTTTGACTAAGAAAAACAATACTTAGTCTCTCCTCTCACCTACAACACATACTTCCAGCCAGGTTACAGCTAACTAAACCTTCCCACAACAGTCCCTGCTTTAGCTGATGCTTCTGTTGATGTAACCTGGCACAAGCAGCAGGGATTCAAAGGAATGGGGAAGGCACCTTTTAATCAGGCTACCAAACAGCCACAGCAAGTTAGAAACAAACTGCTGTTAGTTCTCCGTCTCCTCTTCCCCCCTCACATCTGTAAGCAGGAAAACTCAAATTCGATTAAACTTAAAGCATGCTTTAAAGTCTGCCCCTTGTCATAGCTAAGTCTGTTATCAAGACCAAGTTTTATATTCCTGTTTGTGACTGACCATTAGCTCTCACACTCATTTAGAGACATGACACACACTTGTTTAAGACACATCATAATTCTCCATTGAAGAGAAAGACAACAGGCAGTTTATCACATTTCGCTACATCAAACAAGTTCCAAAGCTGTTAGTGTGGACGTTCATCTTAGCCAGCTGTTCATACATGTGTAACTTTACAGAACAGCAAAGAACCGCACTATGGAGTAGTGCCGAAAGGAAATTCTACAATGATGCTTAAGAGAAAGTTTTACGTAGTATTTGTTTAAGAGAGGGGGGGAAAAAAAGATGTAATGTGCTTTCCAGCCTTACTTTGTCTATTTTTAATGGAAGCTAATTCTTCTAGCACAGTCTGGTCCGTGGATCTGGCGAATGCCTCTGCTGTTGCACAGTATCCATGGTGAACTAAGTAAGATGATACCATTCTAAAAATAAACAAACCCCAGAAACACTCATTAAATACAGGTAAGAAACAAAAAACTTCTTGAATGTAAATAACTTTTCTGAAGAAAAGGTGACTGAAGTAAAGAATTCTACTTGAAATTCAGAAACTTCTGTACAAGTCAGACTAAAGTAATCCAGTTAAAAGCCAGTATCTTCTTCAAAACACTGTACAGAAAAAGAACAAAACCCTCAATGTATCAGTTCATTATGATAAATTTTACTAAAAATTATTCATCACCCACAGGAAGGCTCAATCTAAATATTACCTGCAATTAAGCTAGAGTTTTTTGCTCATTATATCCGCTGAAGTGTAAGTTCTGCACACTGATTTTTTTTTTTATTTTTTTTTTTTGGCGAGACATTAAGCCACAACTTAACGTGGCAGGCCGAAGGCTGAGATCACAAAGGAAAGTTTCCAGAGCTCAAAGTATTAAAACTGCCCACTACATCCAGGGCAATTTTTCTGAATTCCGCAATCCACAGTAGGTGTATCAAATCGGTATGGAAGGCTTACACTCATCATTATAAACTCTTGGAGTTAACTTCCCCAAGCACCTATTCGTTCACAGTTTTACACAGGTATCAAAACTGTTAACAAAACTATTTGTACTAGTACTACCTGTAGTTTCTTGCACGAGACAATAGGTACACGTTTCAAAGATCTCCGAAATTGTGCAATTCACTTTTTTTTTTTAAATGAACGATATTCAAAGTCTTACTTCTGAATCATTGTTTGCCACTCTCCTTCCCGATCTCCTATTGGAAATCTGTCAATCTGCGCTTGAATTTTGGTTCTCCATTCTCGCATATAGTCTTCAATATCAAAAACAAAGGGATGTTGTCCAAAATTAGCGTCCACAACCTCTCCTGGTGTTTGAAGCCCTACTGTAGGGTACAAGTTTGGCTGCAAGAAATTTTTTAATTAGTTTTTTTCCTCTTATTCTAAATTCCCCACTTCCCCCACCCCCACCCCCCATCTCCGTAATATCCCCAACTGCTACTTGTAGTGTGAAGAAGCAAGTACCTCTGGATCATCCGTCCAGCAGTTAAAGCAACTTTTACCAATCCAGCAATATAATGACTGATTAATTTTATTCCCAGTGGTCATAATTCTTTTATTTTGAATTAGAAAGCCTTACTGATCATTCTCTTTTTAGTCAGAAAATGCACTTTTAAAACTGTGCTGAAGTTTACAAACTTTGGGTTCAATTTTACAAAATATTAAATACCAATTTCTAAATTATTTTTAAAGACCAGGATTAAAGTTTCTTGTAAAAAGAGAACAAAAATTAAACTTACAAAGTGGGTCATTTTCCTTTCGGGGTGAAATACTTAAAACATCGCTGAATTTTAGTGGTAAGAACTGACAGGATAGAGAACTCATTAGCCTCAAAGTCCAAGTGTAGCGCCTAAAAAGAACTGTAACAGTGCACTGAAGTTCTCGTGAATTCCTGGACTTGTATCTAGAAAAAGACTTTAAAGCATTTATTGTTGCCTCAGTTTTATTTTCTGCTTAGAGATTAGGTCTCCATGCAAATTTGAAATATGCCAAATATGAGAAAAGTAAATTCTGCCTGTTGGGATTAAGTAACTTGTTTAAATGGAACTAGCATCTCAGCAATGACAATGAAATCAGTTGGGTTTTGGGTGAGTGGGGGTTTGTTGCATTTTTATTTATACCTACAGCATATTTACATGGCAATCAATGGTGCTATGGTATAGTGGTATACTGATCTACAAAGCTATATGCTACCTAAATTAAAGCTATCAGTAAGAAGATATCAACATGCAGGTCAGCAGGA